GTGGTTTAAAGGAAATATATCTCTACCAATTGTTTCTGCAATAAAACAAAATATAAAAGATGCACCACATATTTCATGATGCCAGTAGTAGACCTAACAAATCCCTTGATAAAAGCAATGGATGTTATAGGATCCCTTGGGGGGTATGTGATGGCTCAGCACAAACAAAAGGTGTATTCATCTTTAATGTTCCCTAAGCATAATGAGACCCAGTAGCACATATGTGCATGAAAGATCATAAATTCTCTATCTGTGAAAAATCTCCAGATGAGCACAAACTTTGGTGTTTATCTCTGTATTCTCAGCTCAAACTGCAAAGGCCAAAGAATCCTTCTTGTTAAATGGTATCTAGCATTGCACCAGCTTGAAAGAGGGAATAAAAAGAAAATACTACAGATTCTGGAAATCTGAAATAAAACAGAAAATGCTGGAGAAGTTGATGAATTCTGAAGAGGTGTCCTCTCAGACTCATGGTTAACTTTGTTTCTTTCTCCAAGTTTCTCCAGCATATTCTGTTTTTGTTGGTCAAAGAGTAAATATTGCAACAATTCCAGCTGAATTTCATTTGTTTGCTTAATTACCACCACATTGTTAGGGTTTAAATCATATGTCAAGTATTTGTATCCATGCAAGACTAGAGTTCTGGTAGATTTTGGCTAATATTTCTAAACAATTCAGAGGTGATACGAAGAATTTCAGACAATTTAAAAAAAAACAAGGACCATTAATGTCTCCAGGACTGAATTTTAGCTGCAGTGGTAAGTCAGAAAGCATATATTTTTCATTTGTCCTTATTCTGGAATATGCACTGAAATGCAAGTTGGATTCATTTGACAAGCAACAAAAACTTAAGAGTCTTGCAACTTGAAAAAACTAGTGTTGCATGTTGTTGAGCTGTGCACTACAATGATGATTTTTGGAAGTCCAAGAGGGAGATGTCAAGAATTTTTTGTGTTCAAGAAATCCTGCCTAACAGCAGCTCTCTGATTGGTTGAGCTGCAGAGTATTAAATGCGAAAAGTGATTAGCAGAGAGAGTGAAAACATCCAGCCTGCAGGCAGCTTCCCTCTCTCTGTCTCTGACTTCATGTGGAGCCAGAGACACATTCCAGAAAGCTTAAAAAAAATAAGATCTGAATTCACTGGAACAACTGAAAATTGAATAGCAACTATTGCCGCACAGACAACAGCATCTCGTGATTGCAAAATCAAAATGTCTCTTAGAAACATAAGATCTTTCCAACTTGTGCTCTTCACAACTCAATTTACCCTGTCTAAATTGTTTTCCAAACATAGTTCATGTGTTAAATGTTTTGTCTTTTATCTGTCTGAATTGTAATTTAATGAGAATGTGTGTGAGTGGATGTTTGGACCTTTAGGAAGTCTGCCTTTTCACTGTTCTTGCTAAAATTAAGTGTTACAGTGAAAAGGGTTCATTTTCACTTTTGCGAAAATAGCTTGGCGTGGTTTGCTTTTAACCTGGGTCGTAGTCATGCAGGAATATCAGTCATCTAGTTGGTCTCATTTGGTTTCCTATGCATTTGCACGTTTTATGACTGCTTTGAAAGGGAGGGAGCATAATTATCAGCACATTGTTCCCAGATAAGTTGTGACAGGTGAGAAACAGGAGCCAGAAGTGTTTAGAGTTGTAGAGTTGTACAGCACAAAAACAGACCCTTCAGTTCTCGTCCATACTGACCAGATATGCTAAATTAATCGAGTTCTATTTGCTATATCCCTCTAAACTCTTCCTATTCATGTATCCATCCAGATGCCTTTTAAATGTTGTAATTATACCAACCTCCACCATTTCCTCTGGCAGCTCATTCCATACATGCACCACCCTTTTGTGTGAAAACATTGCCCCTCAGGTCCCTTTTAAATCTTTCCCTTCCCATCTTAGACCTATGCCGTGTACTTTGGACTCCCCTACCCTTGGCAAAAGACCTTGGCTGTTCATCCTATCCCTGTGTCTCATGATTCTATAAACATCTATAAGGTCACCCCTCAGCCTCCGAAGCTCCAGGGAAAAATGTCCTAGCCTATTCAGCCTCTCCCTATAACTCAAACCCTAGCAACATCCTTGTAAGTCTTTACTGCACCTTTTCAAGTTTAAAACATCTTTTCTATTGCAAGGAGACCAGAACTGAATGCAATATTCCAAAGTGGCCTAAGCAATGACCTGTACAGCTGCTACATGATATACCAACTCCTATACTCGATGCACTGACCAATAAAGGCTAGTGTACCAATGCCTTCTTCCTACCCTGTCTACCCGTGACTCTACTTTCAAGGAACTATGAACCTGCACCCAAAATCTCCTCCTGTGGCAACACTCCCCAGGACCCTACCATTCAGAGTATAAATCCTGCTCTGATTTACCTGACCAAAGTGCAACACCTCACATTTATCTAAATTAAACTCCATCTGCCACTCCTCAGCCCATCGGCCTGTCTGATCAAGATCCTGTTATACTCTGAGATAACTTTCTTCACTGTCCACTACATCACCAATTTTGGTGTCAACTGTAAATTTACTAATTATTCCTCGTGTATTCACATCCAAATCATTTACATAAATGACAAAAAGCAGTGGACCCAGCACCAATCCTTGAGGTACACTGCTAGTCTTAGGCCTCTAGTCCAAAAAAAAACCCTCCACCATCAGCCTCTGTCTCGTATCTCGAAGTCAATTTTGTATTCAAATGGCTTGCAGTCCCTGGATTCCATGTGATCTAACTTTGCTAACCAGTCTACCATTTGGAAACTTTAGGGGGAGGCAATGGCCTAGTGGTATTATCACTGGACTGTTAATCCAGAGACGCAGATAATGTTCTGGGGACCTTGCTTCAGATCCCGCTATGGAAGATGGTAGAATTTGAATTCAATAAATACATCTTGAATTAAGAACCTAATGATGACCATAAACCCATTGTTGATTTTCAAAATAAACCCATCTGGTTCACTAATGTCCTTTAGGGAAGGAAACTGCCATCCTTACCTGGTCTGGCCTACATGTGACTCCAGAACAACAGTGATTCTGGACCCACAGCAATGTGGTTGACTTTAAACTGCCCTCTGGGAATTAGGGATGGCCGTTCTCATCCTGTGAATGAATAAAGAATAAAGAAACTTGTTGCATGTTGTGCTGACGTTCATATCGACAACGTCTACCACTCTGCCTTCATCAATCTTTTTTGTCACTTCTTCAAAAAATTCCAGGACCTAATTTGATTGCAGAGGAAAACAGTCGCTGGTGGGAGTTGGGAAGTGGAGGCGCGGACAATTATTCTACAAAGTACCCTTTACAAGGCAGTCATCTGTTGTAGATTGGGTGACCGCTTCACAAAAAAGACCCTGAGCTACCTGTTGCCTGTCATTTTAACACACCACCTGTTCCCTGGCCAACGTCTTTGTCTCTGGCTTGTTGCAGTGTTCCAGCAAAACTAACCATAAACTGGAATAACAGCACCTTATTTTCCACTTGGGGACCCTGCAGCCCACTGGACTCGATGTTGAGCTCAATAACTTCTGGGCCTAAACTCTCCCATGTCCTAGCCCCCTACGCCACACACCAGGCCTTGTTACCACATTGTCTGCCATTACACATTACCTATTATTAGTCACTAACAGTCCCCATTAACAGCTATTCACCTTCCCAGCCAAATTGTTATCAAATACTTTGTCTATCCAATTGCTCTTCTCTCTCTTTGGGCTCTATCCTATCGTTTACTCCCTCCCTCATCCCCCTCCCTATTTTCTGCATATAAACTGACATTTTCCCAGTTACCATCAGTTCTGAGGAAGGGTCCCGGACCTGAAGAGTTAACTCTGATTTTTTTCTTCACAGATGTTGCCAGACCTGCTGAGCTTTTCCAGCAACTTCAGTTTTTGTATCTGTTGTTCTGCCTGATGCTGGCACAGTCTGACGCTGGACACCACTGTGGGCAGTCTGCCTCCGTTATCGTTAGTTAGTAAATATCTTAATGAGCTTAACTGCCTACCAGTTTTATGGAGGCTGTCAGTATTGAAGGGCTCCAGATCCATGTCAGGCAAAATGGTCAACATTGGGAATTTGGTTCACTGGATTGCCTCATCACACTCAGGCCCCTCCACCTGCATTCTGTGCCTGGGTATGGCCAAAAGCCTATGTGATTGTCCAAGAGAAAATCTAATTTAAAAGAAATTTGGCAATGTTGTTGAGTATTCTGTCTCTCATGACTGGTATCTTTGGTGTTGCACAGTGACTGATTTATTGATTCATTGTTGTTGAACTCAACAATATGATATCATGATATTTGGAGTCACTGAACTGATCATTCTTGACGTGGAATACCAAAACAATATTATGACTTCTTAAAACGTTAATCATTTGTTTAAATTATTCTTTTTAGAAAAGTACATTAGTTTCCAAAGCTCCACACCTTGGACACATGAGCACTGCAAGACGGTTCAGGCTAGCTGCGGTACTTTAAATAAGGGCCTCATATTTCCCAGCCTCGCATCTAAATATCCTGAACATTTATCATTGGCACCTCAGTAGATGACTATCTGAAGACCTTGACTTAATGTGTCCATGAGGCAGCCTGAAAATCTTATAGAGATGTACTCGGATAAGTGCATTCTGCTGTTCTCCCCTTTGAAAATCCGGGAACAGGGAAGACTTTCTTGCTGCTGACTTTCAGGAACAGGGAATTTGGTCTCATGTTTTTTTAGATACTTATCCAAGTTAAGGACTATACCTATACAGTTTCCAGTGATAACTTGGTTGGTAACAAATGTGCATTTATTTTGTCGTAAAGTAAATATCAGTTTTACTTCTCGGTGCACCATTTTAATCCAGGTTATCATAATAAGTTAAATAATTCCCATTTTTGTGCTACAAATGCATATATTCTACTTTGTTTTTCAAGTTCTGGGTTAATCAAAATTTTGCTATTTTAAGGTCATTATGAAGAAATTAGTTTCTAAATAAAACTCGTGATTAATTTAATCTTTTCCAGAACCCTTTGATCGACAACCTGTACTTTTGATTGCCAATGTTAAAAGTATTGTGGTGACCAGTCTGAATGGATCAAGTGTTCCTGCTCAGAATTCTGTCACTGCTAATGGAATCATCGCTCTGGATTTTATTTATGATGAGGAGCTGGTCTGCTGGATAATAGCTGAAGAAATGTCTACTCATGCTGAACTGAAATGTGCCAAGTTGACACCGCTGAATGGATTTACTGAAGAGAGAGCCATCAATATTTCACACAGCCTCCACAGTGAGTATTTTCAGCATCTAGAAATACTTAAGCATTCATAGTTAAATCATGTTTTAAATTTGCAATCAACCTATTGCAATGCATTTTGAATCACTCCATTAAATGCCTTTGACAAAGTCTAATGAATGTTAAATATTTCACATGCCTTGAAAGGCTGTTAATTCAATGATGATTACTAAATTAAAATGCAACCATATAAATATGGAGATTTGCTTTAAAAATACTTTGATTTTCTAGGAAAAATGAGGCTCACAGTAATTTCAGGTTTATAACATCTTACTTGCTATGAGGAAGTACCTTGTGTCATGTCCATCAGTCAGTATATCAGAATACATTTAAGAGACATAGTATATTAGTATACTTTTAAGAGACATGCTTATGATATCATCACTTTTTCATCGCATGTGACCTGAGGGTATAAAGATATCAGACTCCATCTCAGCTCAAATTACTTTTCTGAAGAGGAATCTCAGAGAGGCTCATTGAGTTAAAGTCATCACTTCCGCACCAATTCAAGCCTTCACGAAGGATCTTCTGGGTAAAAAATAAAAGCCATATCAATAACATTTCACTTGAGGATTGATTCAAGTATGGAACCATCGGCAGGTCAACAACAGTTGAGTACTGCCAACACTATTAAAATAGTCAGCAAAATATACCTCAAGAAAATAAAAGGTAATTTATGCCATTTGTCACACTTACCTAAAGGCTGTCCACATCAGATTTTCTTCACATGTGAAAAGCATGTGGACCAGGGACATTAGACAAACATGTGCAGGAAATCTGCTTCCAAACACAAAGCCAGACACTGGTCCAAAACAGAGATAACAAGGTGTAGAGCTGGATGAACACAGCAGGCCAAGCAGCATCGGAGGAGCAGGAAGGCTGACGTTTCGGGCCTAGACCCTTCTTCAGAATATCACTGGTCCAAAACATTTATGATTAATAAGATGGGACAACACTGGCAGCAAGGAAACTGTCGAGAAAGTACGCAGATGCAAACACATCAATAAAAGCAAAATACTGGAACATTTGAAAGAAGCACACAAAATTCTGGAGAAAGTCAATATCCACAAGTAGCAACAGACCTATGGCAGCATCTTTGGAGAGAAAATAAAGTTGATGTTTTGAATCCAAAATGATTTCTTCAAAAACCAATAATGAATTTCAGAGCCAACCAGACAGAAGGCAAATTTCAGAAGATGACCAAGATTTCTATATTATTAACTTCACTCACCACGTCAATGGTGTAAGATGATACGATATTTTTAGAACTGTTACCATCATATGACGAGTCAGGCCTACATAATTAAAAGCTAAAATTGATGCGGGAGCTAGCTTCAAAATATTGCTACTATGCATCCTGCAAGTTATGTATTTCAGCACTTGGCAGTCCACAGTACAGAGTTAGTGTGAACAACTGTAATCAGCAACAGCTGAAACTGACTGACTACAAGACTTGCAGTAGTTCATTATCCAGAGAGAGCAAGACAATAGTAAGTCAGTTCCTGAGAAGATTTTTTTCATTATTGCTGTACAGAGAAAAACTTGGTATATTGTGACAAGTCAGTTACAAGGGCAAACAAGTTCTAATACCAGAAGTATTACCATGCACTTGTTTTACCAGGAAACAGGGGTATTGTGGATAGGGTAAATAGACAAAGTTTTTTTTTCCCTGGGGTGCGGGTATCTAAAACTAGAGGGCATAGATTTAAGGTGACTGGAAAAGATTTAAAAGTATTAATTTTTTCACGCAGAGAGTGGTGCATATAAGGAATGAGCTGCCAGAGGATGTGGTGGAGGCTGGTACAATTACAACATTTAAAAGGCATCTCGATGGTTATGTGAATAGGAAGGGTTTAGAGGGGTATGGACGAAGTGCTGGCAAATGGGGCTAGATTTATTTCAAATATCCGGTTGGCATGGACGAGCTGAGTGTCAGTTTCCATGCTTTCTATCTCTATGGCTCAATGACTGCAAATGCACAAGAACTGCACAATTCAGATGAAGCAGTGTACCAGCCAGGATGAATCAGGATAGCCGATGACACAAGAAAATGTGTGATGATGTCAAATGTAATAACACTAGAAACAGAGGGAGCATCCACAACCACATAATTTTCCATCCACTCCTTGGATGAAAGTAGCAATAGACCTATTCACAATGCATGTGGAAAACTATATCCTTGTGATGGATTACTTCTCTAAATTACCCATTGATTGGTGACTTAACCGACACAATGACTCCTGTTTATTTGATGTCCTGGTATGAATGATGTCTGGCAACAGACTGCAATTCACTGGCAGAAAATATCAGGACAAGTGATGCATATCACATTGTCTCCTACTATCCACACTCAAACAGAGTAGCTGAGCATACAATACAAATGATCAAATCGATGACAATTCAATTCAAAGCAACAAAGCAGGATTTTCACAGTGCATTGCAGCACATTCACACAACACCAATGGAGAAAGGATTACTGTTCCCAGCACAACTTATGTTTAAAAGGTAGTGCCCAGCAACTAATTGTCCAGCCATTCTGAGGCACAGGACATTTTTGTTCAAATGCAAAGGAGAGTCAAATAGATGAGTAATGAGTGACCAGGTATAAAACTAACATGATTGTGCATGGGGCAGGGGTCTAACTGGGTCTTTTAATAAATTGTGAAGGAGATGAAGCCAGCTCAGATGTATGTATAGCACATGAATCATGCATGGAAAGTGAGGACAAAACCTGCAATGATGATGATTGAAATAGTTCCTAATCAAGCTGTTCAGAGATTGTTATGATGCACCTCTAGAGTAGGTGGGAGCTGAAACTGGGCCTCCTTGCTCAGAGATAGGGACACTACCACTGTGCTACAAGACCCTTTTAATGTTTCAAACCAGGGAACTTGTGCATATGAAACAAGCGTACTACCCACTAATCTGCAGAAACAGATGATGCTTGAATGGTGCTGTTTTGACAGCAGTCAATAACAAGACAATGAAGTTGCCAAGCAAGAGCTGCAGAGTGTAATGCATACCTCTCCAGATGGATATATGAACACCAAGTTGACAAATCTTCAAAATATAACATTGACGTTTGAATTGCTAATCTTTTAAGCTCTGTTTCAGCTATTGCATAGCTATTGAATGTGCAAAATGTATGCATGTACAACATAGAGTCATGGAGTCATACAGCATGGAAATAGACCCTTGGGGTCTAACCAGTCCATTCTGAACATAATCCCAAACTAAACAAGTCCCTGCCTGCTCCTGGCCCACATCTCTCCAAACTCTTGCTATTCATCTTTGGAAAGTCGTTGGTGGGGTGCGATCATGTTTGTCTCTCAATCAATATTTCAGTATACTTCTTTAAGAGACACAGTACATTGGCGTTACTTTAAAAAACATGGGATTGATAACATAGTATCATTTCACTGTGTCATAGCATGTGACCTGAGGGTGTAATGATCTCAAATTTCATCCCAACTCTGATCACTTGGAGTATCTTGCTTGATGTAACTCAGTAACCTAACACTAGTCCAGATTCTTATGTGCCTGTGAATGTAACAATTGTATAGAATAGCCACTGGTAATAAATGCCTGTTGCATCTTTTGAAATTATGTTATCCACCTCAATGATATGAAGAATGACATGATAACAAATAAAAAACATCCTGTTGGAAGTAAAGCCCACACTGGTGCATTTGCTGAATCATCCAGGCTTTGTGTTTCTATTCATCACCATGTCCCACACCAGTGAACAAAACAAGTTCTAACTCTTACAGAAATTATTCTATGGCTTTAGTAATCATGTGACTACCAGATATTTGCTTCAATAGACAATTGGTGATGATTGCTGTGTCTAAGCTTGATGCAATGGGCAGGATGTCTATTCTACATGACTGACAGCATTGGTGGGAGTTCATACACATTTTTGAGCTTGGGTAACTTTCTATTATGCTCAATGTAGTTTCATTGCTGACTTGCTGAATGAGCAATGATAGGCAGCTTCTCACTCTAGTGATTCAAAAATCAAATGTTTCCTCTGTGGAGCCGAGCCAGAAATGCTCACTTCAAACTTGAGTGTGGAGAGGTGAGGGTCTGTGAGAAGTTATATTACTAGAGGGGAGCAAGGTATGAAGGGATCAATAGAAAAGTTTTTTTTTGTTAAATTAGGACAGTTCTGGTCTTCGAAAGTAATTAGCAGAGTTTTTTTTAGTTTTATTTTAGAGTGGCCTATGACAGCTGTTTAAGCATAACTGGTTTGGTGGTTCAGTGCATTCAGTCTAGAGCGAGAAAAAAATGTTACTTTCTCAATTCTTTGGGGTGACATGCTGCCAGTCAGTACTTATTCAGCAGTGACACTAGACTGAGCATAATTATTAAGATGATACGCGAACACAAAACTTGGTAAAATCTCCCAACCATGTTATATGTTATTTTGAGTGCAAATCCAGTGGATTTTGGATGACCAAAATTTCATTGAGGTCCCAGGATCTTAGGACTCTGACTTCAAATGCATTTGACAAAGGTAGTGCCTATTTTTTTCAACCTCAGCTCAAAAATTGAGCAGAGTGGGTCTTAAACAGCATGTTCATTTTTTTTTTAAGAAATTGTCCACCCTCAAATTGTTCATCTTATAAAATAGGATGCAAAGTGACAAAAATCTTTCTGAAAAACTCCACAACATCACAGAATTACAGCGATGTTATGGCATAGAAGGAGGCCATTCATCCTGTTGTGTCTGCATTTGCTTGTCAAATGAGCACCATTACCTCGTGCCAATTTCCTCTTTATTTTCCCCAATTCTGTGCACATTTTTTTTTTGAAAGCATCATCCAATGCAGTTGCATCTCATATTCTTACTACTTGCTGAGTGAAAAAGATTATCCTTACTTCGTTCTTGCTTCTTTTGCAGATCACATTAAATCTATGCATTCTTGTTCTCTGGTTCCAGCAAGAATAGTTTATCCCGATCTACATTACCCAGCCTGCACATGATTTTGAAA